TCTTCATGTTCTAAATGCTTTGCATTCTCTTCAGTTTCCAAATGCTCTGCATTCTCTTCAGTTTCCAAGTGCTCTGCATACTCTTCAGTTTCCAAATGCTTTGCATTCTCTTCAGTTTCCAAATGCTTTGCATTCTCTTCAGTTTCCAAATGCTTTGCATTCTCTTCAGTTTCCAAATGCTCTGCATACTCTTCAGTTTCCAAGTGCTCTGCATTCTCTTCAGTTTCCAAATGCTCTGCATTCTCTTCAGTTTCCAAATGCTCTGCATACTCTTCAGTTTCCAAATGCTTTGCATTCTCTTCAGTTTCGAAATGCTTTGCATTCTCTTCAGTTTCCAAATGCCTTGCTTGCTCTTCATTTTCCAAATGCTTTGCATTCTCTTCAGTTTCCAAATGCTTTGCATTCTCTTCAGTTTCCAAGTGCTCTGCATTCTCTTGAGTTTTCAAATGCTCTGCATACACTTCAGTTTCCAAATGCTCTGCATACTCTTCAGTTTCCATATGCTCTGCATTCTCTTCAGTTTCCATATGCTCTGCATACTCTTCATGTTCTAAATGCTTTGCATTCTCTTCAGTTTCCAAATGCTCTGCATTCTCTTCAGTTTCCAAGTGCTCTGCATACTCTTCAGTTTCCAAATGCTCTGCATACTCTTCAGTTTCCAAGTGCTCTGCATTCTCTTCATTTTCCAAGTGCTCTGCATACTCTTCAGTTTCCAAATGCTTTCCATTCTCTTCAGTTTCCAAATGCTTTGCATTCTCTTCAGTTTCAAATGCTTTGCATTCTCTTCAGTTTCAAGTGCTCTGCATTCTCTTCAGTTTCCAAATGCTCTGCATACTCTCTTCAGTTTCCAAATGCTCTGCATACTCTTCAGTTTCCATATGCTCTGCATTCTCTTCAGTTTCCATGTACTCTGCATACTCTTCAGTTTCCAAATGCTTTGCATTCTCTTCAGTTTCCAAATGCTCTGCATTCTCTTCAGTTTCCAAGTGCTCTGCATTCTCTTCAGTTTCCAAATGCTCTGCATACTCTTCAGTTTCCAAGTGCTCTGCATTCTCTTCAGTTTCCAAATGCTCTGCATACTCTTCAGTTTCCAAATGCTCTGCATACTCTTCAGTTTCCAAGTGCTCTGCATTCTCTTCAGTTTCCATATGCTCTGCATACTCTTCAGTTTCCAAATGCTTTGCATTCTCTTCAGTTTCCAAATGCTCTGCATTCTCTTCAGTTTCCAAGTGCTCTGCATTCTCTTCAGTTTCCAAATGCTTTGCATTCTCTTCAGTTTCCAAATGCTCTGCATACTCTTCAGTTTCCAAGTGCTTTGCTTGCTCTTCATTTTCCAAATGCTTTGTATACTCTTTAGTTCCAAAATGGTCTGCTCACAAATCCTCAACCCAGCAATTGTTTTTGTAGGCCTGTTATAAGTTTGGCAGGCCTGTTATCCATTACAGAATTCAAGTCACCCAAATCCTAGAAACATAACACTGACACTTTGTAATCACTGACCCCAAGCTGTGTTGAGAGTTCCATAATCTATTTAGGACTGTCAAATCTACAGGTAAAACAGTTCTGGATTGAAAACACCGTCGTTTATCTACTAATTACTTGACACATCTGAGTATTTGCCCTCATATCAATCACCATTAGCTGTGAGACCATCACATAAAGTCTACTTCATATCAACCCACTGCTGTCGTGGCATCTGACCCTAATTGTACTAAACGTTAGTAATTCATAGGATATGGGATAAACATCAGTGATCGAAATAACGCACTGCCCACCTGCCCGAGGCTGACAACTTTCATGTCAGGCTGCCTGAAAACATCTCCCCAAGCCCGATTGTCTGGCTTATATTTTTAAGACTAATCTACTTCTTTTCACTCTTATCAAGTGTGCGAAATAGTTCCCAAATTTTTGCTACCCAGTCAGGCTAGCTATGCCTGAAAGTTACTAGTCAAAAGATAATTCACTAGACTGAAATTTGCATGTAGAAACTAAGCACAACATTACAGAAATAGATGAGAATAAGATATTATCAGCATGACACAGGTTTCATCATTAAACTGCTAATATGATGAACCTCTTTATCAGGCCATAATCTTGCTAGACTTAAAAGTGCATTGTAAGTGAACAAGTCGGAGAGAGTGATATATTTACAAAATGACCCCGTGAAAATTCGCCAGCCAGTCGGACCTTTGACTGTGGAGATGTACTGTCCCGACTCGATATTTACTAGCCACAGTCTAGCGGGCCAATGGCTATTTCGAACACTGCTCTTATCACTTGACTGGTATTTTGAAGATGAAAGTTGAACTTAGAAAATATGAAAGGTAGACTTTGTTTCCAGATCATACCTTAAAACTGGTTATTATGATGAAGGGCGGTGGGGTAGCCTTGTGGTTAAAGTGTTGGCTCGTCACGCCAAGGACCCGGGTTCCAATCCCCACATGGGTATAATGTGTGAAGCCCATTTCTGGTGTCCCCTGCCGCGATGTTGCTGGAATATTGCTAAAAGCGGCGTAAAACCAAAACTTTACAATGAAATACTGCTGTGGTGGTATGCGGTTTGTAAAGTCAAACTTCTTTTAATTGTACTAATCGTTCATAGGATGTGGGATAAACATGCAGCATAATAGTGATATGATTGTGTCGTTAAAGAAAGCAATCTTAGCACTAAACTGCTCGTAACTCCCATACCTTAGCTGTATAGCACTGACTTATATTACCCCTTCGAAAAGATCATGAATTCTTCATGAATTCTTCATGAAGTGTCTTCATGAAAACTTCATGAATACTTCATGAACATTAAATGAGACTTCATGAAGTTCCTTCATGAAGAGTTCATGAAGTTCCTTCATGAAGTTCTGTTCATGAAGTTTCATGAACTCTTCATGAAGGAACTTCATGAAGTCTTCATGAAGTAAATGTCTCATTTAATGTTCATGAATTCTTCATGAAGAAGATTTCATGAACACTTCATGAAGACTTCCTCCTGAAGAGTTCATGAATACTTCATGAAGAGTTAACGAAGAGTTCATGAAGACCTCCTGAAGAGTTCATGAAGACCTCCTGAAGAGTTCTTGAAGACTTCTTGAAGTGTTAACGAAGACTTCTTGAAGAGTTCATGAAGACCTGAAGAGTTAACGAAGATTTCATGAAGACTTCATGAAGACCTCCTGAAGAGTTCACGAACGCAACTTTTTTCTGCAACACAAGACACAGAATTTCACATCTAAACCCCATGCTCTCTAAAGATAAAAAGACAGGGTATAATTTAGTAGAATAATATTTAATTCTTATTGAAGTCAAGTTTATTTCTGATGTGGGGTGGTCTTAGGCCCACATCACTGTTCTATACATGATCGAGGACTTTGCATTTTTATCACGTTATGAGATCATGTTCATTAACTTCTCAAGACATCCAAGATATTTTTATGGATTTAACTTCTTTGTAATTTCTCTCACAACGTTTCGAGACCATTCCAGGTCCCTTCATCAGGTGAACTGACAGTTAGGACTATGAAGTCATAACTGAGTTATGATGTCACAATGCAAGTGACATCACAGTACACTAGGGAGAGTACTGTATAAGTAAGTTTGAAGAGTTATTTACATAATGATGAAAATTCATGCTAAATAATAGAGTTGAAAGTTGAATTGTCAATACACAACAACTGCTAATTACACAAAAGTTACTTGATAGCAGGCTTTCCAGGAAAGAATAGTAGACTCGTTATTTTTGGGGGGGAAATGCCACTGTAAGACATTCTCAAGATATGATTACATCTTATAACATACATGTATTGTATGTAAAAACATTGTATATTGTAGTTACAAGTTTATATTAATGTATTTTGTCGTAAGATTTAATGGTTATGATTCACTCCAGAGATATGCTCGAATTGTCACGCGATCACCAGGCGATTACGTCATCAAAACATGTGTTGTTGATTCAGAGATTGTTTATACATTAAATCTGCTAAAATATAAATGAATATTAAAAAAAGTACTTACCCAGGCGTGTTCCTGGAGGTTGCAGTTGGTACACTATATCCATTTAATTTAATGTCACATCTTATTTGGATGTTAGATCGCATTCTTCTTGCATTCGGTGGCCTCTGCTACATGCATTACCGGAAGTATGACGGCATCTCATATAGCATACTCTCCTTCAAAAGCAGTTACAGAGACAACAGACTCAACATAAGTTCTAGTGTTTTGGGGCTTATTAGAGTTTTATATTTGAATTACAGTGCTGCATTCTTGGCTCTGCCTTTGCGCACAGTAGTTATTCTTGTGAAATTGGAAATTTGGAAGTTATAGGAATAATAGATCTACAGTACTCTGAACTGTTATAACGAACAAGCCGGTAAACTAGCAAAAGTTTAATTCACTCTTGCAGTTGCCTATTCTTGAATTGTTATTGCCACCTATAAAATAAATAACAACAACAGTGAGTAAAGATTCATTGACTTTATTTATTTGTTAGAATTTTCTTTTAATCCTTTTTTACATAACTTTCAAAATTGACGGTTGGGATGGGACATAAAATATATCCTGACGACCACGTTCCCCACCCCCAACCTGTTACATGTTTCATTGTTTCTGCACATCAATATTGCAAATTTGTGACATATAGGATGGGCAAATTATTCAGGTATATATTTGGTTCTAATTTCTTCTTAGGCACTACAAATACAAATAAAAAGATACTCATCCTCGATATGTCTTTTACAAATTTTACAAACACATTCTGTATGGTCTATCCATTATCAATATACAATATATAACAAGGATACAAAATATGCTATACATACATAAGTTGCCATAAAATACTTGTGACACTAAAAGTGTTTGAAATATTTCAAAACCAATTTCAGCGCATACTGGTAATGATATACCAGGTGCATTTAATATTACTGTAATGCCTTCTTCAGCTCAAGCAGAATACAAAATTTAATTTTTATGTTCGCGGCTACCTTCTGTTGAACTAAACGACAGCCGTGCCCTTTTAACCTCCAGAGATGGCAGGATCACCTGGAAGCATAGAAGATAACAAGACATATGGTAAGAAACTTTAAGCATTTCAATGCTAACAAAATTATAAAGGGTGGTAGTACTGGCATTAACTAGTTCATATTCAAAGAATGGACAAGGATAATTTTATGGCTAACAACTTCTTTAATACTTACATGCAACGTTTCGACATAGATACTTATGATGTCTTTCAGTGGCATTTAGAAGTTGTACATTGATGTCCAAGATACTTTTATGGATTAGATACTTATGTTGCCAATTGTTTGTGTGTGCGAAAATTGAGAAAGTAGACCTCAATATCTATGTGTCGACTTCCATGTAGAATCAGAATAGAACGACTATAGATCTAAGAGTGAATGTGACAAATATCAATAAATGTATACATTTCCAACCATGTTCGTGAATTCAATAAGAATTGAGCCTTTCATAAATACAGAATGTTTTCGTGATGCGATTATATGTGGTGGGGAAGCAGACAGTTTCTTCACAGTCTGCTCAGCTTGTTTCGATTTCAATGTGATATATTTATCAGGAATTCAGGGTAGAAATAACTTTAAAATTGATTGTGTACTCTGATACAGTGGCACATGTAAAGTAACTTGCCCTGATAATTTTTCCACTATACCGACCGTTTTCTTGCTGATGGTTTAAATAAACAACATAATTAACATTGGAAAGTCAAATGGACACCGGTACAGTGTGATATACAAATTTGCTTGCCCAACAGAAAAAAACCAGTGGACATGGACGTAAGGCAAGGGGTTAATTGATAATTCCAACCTTGGGAGTTGTTTTTAATATGTCTTCATAACATACTACATGCCTTTACGAAACCTTCATCAATGCTTGCATATTCCAACATATTATTAAACATGGGTCTAAATAATATATGCATCCACCCTAAAACTAATATTTTTATCCACTACCTGCAAAAGAAGAAAACAATGGCTCCCTTGGCAAGCTAAAAAAAGCCTTGACCTCCTGTATTATGACCTACCTGGAGGTATTTACAAATCTTGCATGTACACCAATCTTTGTTATTCTTGAAAACAGTATAGTATTATCGATTGGAATTTATTCAAATATATAATCAAAGTTTGATTGTCAAATGGTAAATTATCTGATCATTTGATCCATTGGTGCATCACTACAAATTATACCTTTCGAACACAAATAAATACCTTTGGTTCCTGTCGAGTCCAAGTCTGTTTTTGACTGTTTATGTTTAACCCCTGAAGGCACATAGGTTGACGCAGGATCTGGTAGATAAAACAATTCAATGAGATGATGTTTAAATTAATGCATGTAAATCAAACGGAACAAGTGGCTCCTGTGATGATACTTTCGTCACACAGAGTCATAGTAATTAATTTTGTCATAGAGCTATAGTATATTTTACTAATCATTGGGAACTTTAATGTTAATAAATACAACACAAAGCACATCACATTCCTGATATTGAAAACGTTTTGGTCCTTTTCTGCAAAACACCTTTCTCTACTGCCACAAAGATCGACATTAAATCCCAATTTCTGAAGAACAGAATTTGCTGAAATCAAAGAATTTATTTTAGACGAAGGATGCACAAAGAATTTCTTCCCGGATAATGAAGTTATATCTTTGGTATTGTCACATCAATTTTAAAACCACAAATACAAGCAATCACAAAAGTATCATCACAGGAATACAGAACTTGGAGGTTTAAACCGCACTCAGCAATATTGCAGCTATATGGCGGCTGTCTGTTAACCATGTCAGCGAGTGTGACCACCCGATCCCGTAGGTCGCCCCTTACGACAAGCATGGGTTACTGAAGGCCAGTTCTAACCCGAATCTTCTCGGGTTTTAAGACTGAATTATACAAGCTGAAGATGTGATTTTATCAAAATATTGACAAATGTGACAGGCTCACACGATTTTTCAACACAGAAGCAAATATTTTTAACTTAAACTTCGATCATTTACCTTTGATTCCCACAACGACGGCGCGGTAGTTTGACACAGAACTTTGCCTAAACTTCTTTCCTGGTTGGTGAAGAAATTGTCAGAGATTTTTCCATCGTACCAAAGAGAAGACAACTTTGGAAGTTCACACGATCAGTGTCGTCCATAGACGCAGTCATGTTCGGTACCGCCATGTTCAGATTTTAGAAAAGCGCCAAAATCGCTTCCAGCCAATTAGAGGTGCTCTTTCTTTCGATGTCATAATTGAACCAATGCCAAGACACGTTAATCAGTTGAGTTGGGTTTTTGTCTCTTCAAAATAAATAACATATCTAAAGAAGCAAATACGACTCAATACAGTTTTTAAAAGCTCCATAAGATTTATTGTATCATTTATATAGTTTTAATACATACTTTAAAAAAATCACGATCGACGAGATCATCCGGTACCAGCCATCGTTCCAAAATGGCGGATGCACCCGACTCACGGGAGGTAGATTTACCGATTCCATCATGAAAGAAGGGAAATACCGTCCAAATACACGATGTCAAATTTGAATGTCTCATCTGTGGTCGGAAACTGGCTTCAAAACAAAACGTTTTAAGTCATTTTCACACTTTACATGGACTAAGACAGTAGTTGTTTACATCAGTGTTCGATCGGTTTTGCGAAAATTCAGAATTGACGCGAGTCTCGACTGCACGTACAATTAATATTCAGACTGGGTCCAGAGACATGGTAAAGAAATAAACATCGTGATATTGTCCACACATTCTTGTTTGGCATATTAAACATTTTAAAAGGCCCCATAGACATATTGGTGTAGATAACGCGAAAGATCCATTAAAAATTAGGAAGTGTGTAAAATCTACAGCAGTTACGTGCGATTACTTATCGGATAAGTAAAGTTTGAAACACTACTACTCACAATCTAAGACACGTTTCTGCTGTAGATGTTTTCCAACTTTAGATTTTTGAATGTTTGGCCTAATTTTAAGAACCTTACAGCACCACAAAAATATGTCATATTACCCTTTTACGTAACTGTTGTGATTTCGTGCCAAAGTACGTTCTCGAAGCAGTGCCCTTTTTAGCAATTATTAAAATATATTATATTTCGGTTTAAACGTAACTTGTATACAGAAAGTCAACTTGGCTGTGTCCAATTTCTTCAAATTGCTTAAAAGTTTGTCTCCTCTGACTCTTGTCTTTGATGCTGAAAAATCCATCTGTGAAACTGTGTTATCATAGCCTCATTCATTTTTTGAACCAGTAGTGAATACAAACACCCACTCTCCAGCTCTCGATCTTGTCAGATTCCCTCAAACTGACCACAGCTACATGAAGCATGTAAGCAAAATTGTACAAATCAGATTCAGATAATTTAAACTTTCTTAAATATGTTGAAAATATTTTAAAAAGAAAACTATGACTACATACTGAGAGTCACGTAGAAAAATCACCGTCTTGTTGTTATGTGTTTTCCTTGATATGTCTATGTGAGAAGGTCACTTGCTTCTCTTAGAGTGTGACGCCCTGGGCAGGAAGTGACAGTGTTTTGACTCAATTTTTTTACTTAATTGAAATATTGAGGTTCCCTAATTAACCATTATTACCTCATGCTGAATCAGCACAGGCCGTTTATGTTAATGCAAAGTGGATATTGGCTAATGTCAGCGTGTAAATGTGACATGTTTAAATATATGTTAAAGCTCTTACCGCTATGTTAATTTTCTAGAGTTACTGCGTAGTGTTTGGAGCAAACACGTTGCGTAAAGTGATGCCATCCTTTCTATATCATCAAAATAGTATTATATGTGTTTGGCCTTGCCCGGCTCCCAAAAGCACATTAAACCTCACACATGTAACCAGCATTGAATGGTATAACTATAGAATGGTATTGGATCTGCCTAAATATCAGTTTGTATTGTTACAAAATGTCACATGTAAAGATGATTGGTCCGTTAAAATGAAGCCCTTTTCCATCTCCATTCCAAACATAGAGTCAATAAAAAGTGGATAGTCTATGAAACACACACACACACACACACACACACACACACACACACACACACACACACACACACACACACACACACACACACACACACACACACACACACACACACACACACACACACACACACACACACACACACACACACACACACACACATATTTCCCCTTGCGAGATGTTGATTTGTTCTTTAAAACCATATCTTCTTCTTTCCTGACCCAACTGACAGCTGCTTTATCTGCCACCACTAAGCGGTCGGTGAAGGTAAGATACTTGCAACACATGAAGTAGCAACATTCTCAGAATGTGTTGCGTCAGTGACAAATGGTACACATTGCAGTTCCCTATTAAGACTTGTACCATACGTTCCCTAATCGTTCCTAGGTGAACATTACCCTAGGATGTCCATATGGTGGGACAGGATACGCATACCTTTTCGAGAACACCTGATATCTAGTGATTCATAAACATATGCTCCGTCATTATATCCACCGAGGAATTGTCTGGTCTAGACTCGAATTTTACAGTCATATGGCAGGTATATTGCTGAAAGCTGCGTTAAACAACAAACAAAACCACACACTTGAAACAAACCGACATACACACACACACACACCATCCATCCCCTACTAACCACCCCCTCCCCCCCAAACAACACCCAAAACAAATGCTCATAATATAATCGGAATGTGTACTATCGACTCTGCTTTTCTAACAGACGCAACGGACGAACTGAGTGTATCCATACTACATGTATATGTTGACAAACATATCGGAGTGTATAGTGATACATAGTACTATGATTCGTACGTGAGAGGAGGGGTTTAAAAGACATCAACACAAAAATACTATCTTATATTAGGCAGGTTGTTCGCCTGTGTTTCTGGCATACTTTTAAAATGGTAACATTCGATGGGATTCGATTTGATATTTGTCATGGAACGCTACAGTCAAAACAAATATGAAAACAGGGATTCATATGACTGTGGTCCGATGACTTGTGACATGCTTAGAATGAGGCTAAGGGCCCCTCTTTGAGCAACGTGATCGTTTAAATTTCTTCAATCTGAGACTTCATGAAGAAGTTTTAGGTGGATATAACTAGATATATGTACATTTCAGGATACATGTGCGATGTTAAAGTTGTTGTTGATGGCCCGGGACAAGTCAGAGACTTAGCACTTTTGATAGAGGTTCTAATTCTGATGTAGTATTTGTAAAAACCTTTCCGGGCCGACTGAAATGTATATGGGGATTGACTTAAGTATTTATACGTTTTGAATCCTGTTTCGTTTAATGACTTCTCTTTTAGTCGTAACCTTGCTTAGTCACTTCACAGGCCACTCGTCTTTCTGAGTTTTAAGCGATTTAATAAGGTTATAGTGACACACGTGTGTGGCTTCTTGCTGCCCATATTGTCGTGGGTGTAAGCTGGATTAATTAATTGTAGACATGGTTTTCGATAGTAGCCAATTATATACTTGGCCCTCCTTCAACTTTCTTTCAGAAACTTGAAGCAACGAGAAATTAATCAAAGCAACGAAAAATATTTGAAATAACGAGAAAGTATTCGAAGCAACGAGACAATATTCGAAATTTCTAATTTTTGTCAGAATCTTGAAGCAAAGAGAAAATATTCGAAGCAACGAGAAATTAATTGGAGCAACGAAAAATTAATTGAAATAACGAGTAAATACTCGGAATTTCAAGTTTTTGACAGAAACTTGAAGTAACGAGAAAATATTTGAAATTTCAAGTTTTTGATAGAAACTTGAAGTACCGAGAAAAGAACTCAAAGTAGCGAGAAAATTATTGAAGTTACGAGAAAATACTCGAAGTAACGAGTAAATATTCGAAGCAACGAGAATTGTAGCAGAAAAAAATATTTGTGCTACAAAAGTTGAAGCATTAGGCTTTTGTAGATGACAACTTCTTTATTTCGTGAGTGTGACGTTTCGATACAAACTCTTGTACCGTTGTCAACCAGGAATGTAACATGAAGGGGAACAGTTTGGAACAATTTGATGTTGCATCAGCTTTACTCCCGAATACAAAGTTATATGTAAAAGACAATTTGTCAAACATGCTTAGCATAGAATCACAGAGAATTGTTAACAGTAACTGCAGTTGTATAATATATAAGATATCTTTTACTGAAAATACAACCTGGTACAGACGCAATGACGTCTATAAGAGATCATATAACCTTTCAGTATAAGTTCTGAATGGTATCAACAATCAAATCTAAAATGAAAGTTATGAGGCTTATACATAGTGACACCTAGTACAGAAAATACTATTACATTTGACATGAAATCAATAGATATAGCTGAGTCTTTAGTAAGTGAGTGAGTGAGTGAGTGACAAGATTTTTAGTCACATCGCCAGTATTTCAGCCGTATAGTAACTAACAGAAGTTATAGTGAGTGAGTTTAGTTTTAAGCCGCTTTTTTGCTATATTCCAGCAAAATCGAGGCGGGGGACACCAGAAATGGGCCTCACACATTGTACCCATGTCGGGAATCGAACCCGTGTCTTCGGGTTGATGAGCGAATGCTTTAACCAGTAGGCTACCCCACCGCCCCAATGAGGCCTATAAAGGTTTCTGGTAGAAAGTAGACCACAAATACTATCACATTTGGCATGCAATTAATATTTATAGTTCATTTTTTAAGACAGTTCTTTGATTCAGTGAGTGAATGTCTTAAGATTCTTAGTCACTAAAGTAACAAAAAGAAGTCATATATTCATGACGAAGGCCACTAAACCAGGTAGAATACGATATATATAGATACAACACTAGCATATCAATGTAAAACTATAGACAATACAACATATATAACAAGCTTTAGATCGCCAAGAACTGAAGGTAGATCGCAATATTTAAGGACCATAGGAGACTTACGGTACTTGCTTCCTGCATGGACCCTAGCTGGATTTACACTGTAACTTCAGCCAATGGCGATTGTGCAGTTGATTTACAAAAGATATTGATCAACATTTTCCAAACAATTCAATTTCTTCTTAAACAATCAATGGTTAAATAACAGCTAACAATATCCAAAATACCCTTGATTGTTTTCAATCA